AAATTTTACTGTACTTATTTAGTGCCTTGAGTACCACATCCTTTTTCTGTTGGTTTGTTTTTTTTTTTCCCTGAAAATGAGGAGAAAATAAGTAGATATAATTATAACATTTCTTTTTTGTTGGCAGGCAAATTTTACTGTACTAATTTAGTGCCTTGAGTAGCACATCCTTTTTCTGTTGTTTTTTTTTTTTCCCCTGAAAATGAGGAGAAAATAAGTAGATATAATTATAACATTTCTTTTTTGTTACTCATCAGATTTTTGTATGCCATCAATTAAAAGCACATCTATTATAAACACACAATATCCATCATTTAAATTAGGCCAAAGATTTAAAAATGCCCTGTAAGATTTTTCCATGTCAGAGCAATTCAATCACTATTATGTTTCCTTGATGCAACTATTTTGGGACTTAGCTTGTTCCTTGATAGGATTTTAATTAAGTCATTTACATTTAATTTCCAAATATGTAGCTGTTACAGAAGGCAGCAAGGAAATGAAAAGACAAAAAGAAACCTGAAGACAGCCAATGTTTAACAAAAATATTTCTGATATAAAAATGAATCTGAGGAATACATATTCAGTGATAAGTATTCCAGTCCATGTCTGGTAAACTCTCAGATAATGGCAGCATGGTAGGGTCACTGGGGTTCTATTAGCTCAATTAATGAGGAGTAAGATAAGGCTAACACCTAGCTCTTCAAACGGCTAAACAATAGAGCTGATAGTAATGGAGTTATTAACCTTCGCCAGCCATTGAATTTTGCTGCTGATTCAAACTCCATTTCCTAGTTCAGGCCTCCATTAATAGGCTGTTTATTATCCCTAATCCACATTGGGATCAGCTGCAGAAATACGAAAGCCCCATGTAAAGACCAAATAGTTAAAAAAATTTTTTTAAAAATCTTTTTTTTTCCACTCTGATTGTTCCATTTTCAACAAATTCACAGATTCTACCTTAGAAATTAGGAGCTTCATTAACCTAAACTGTTTGAACTTAGCAGTATGATGAAAAAGAAGCTTTAAATATATTATGCAAAAAGATGACATAATGAGGGATTCAGCCACATCGCCGTGAAGGCCAAATAAAACACTGCTGGAAAACTAGCATTCGAGAAGCTAGTGCTGCCTATTTTCTCTACTGGGAAAGAAAATACTTTAATATTGGAAAAATGGGTATTTGAAATGTTATATATGTATTGTTAGGTCAATTCTCAAGTTCATCCCTCCCCTGCCCAGCTTTGTCTTTCCACTTGTATTGTTTGTAGATACTGCTGTAATATAATTAATCAATACTGAAATGTAAAACAATCGACCCTGGATTCAGATCCGATGGAAAAAAACAAAGGACATGATGCAACAGAGGAACTGGGAATCCCAGGACACACTTAGCAGCAGAGCCTGTTGGCACAGATGGAAGGGCTTGCTTTGTCAGCTTCAGGAGAATGTGAACACAAACCTGGCTACAATTTTAACTACAGAGATCTTGAGTTAAAGGGTCTTTTGGCTCTTTGCTGAAGTTGCACACATTCAGTTGAGATTTATGACACTGTGTGATTTTTCCAGTATATTTTCAATGAAAGACACACTGTATAGTTACCATAGTTTACACACGTAAGATGTTCTTCCAAAATCTATCACCACAACATCTAACAGAATACCAGCAATTGCGAGTAATGGAGTTAACATCAAAATTTAAAAAAAAATGGTTATGGTAATATATATACATCCAGCACACAGTGCTACCCTCAAAACTGAATGCAGTTCTGGTTGTTCCACCTTAGAAAAGTAACTGCTAGAATAACTCAAGAAGGTAGAGAACAGGGGGACAGGATGATCAGAAGAGTGAAGTGACTTTGGGGAAAGGAAAAGATAACCAGATAAACCAGATCAAAGTTCTTTGCCTGAGAAAGAGATGACTGAACAGGCATATATAAGAGGCTTATAAAATCAGGAATGTTAGGAGAGCTTTATGAGAGAAAGCTTATAACTGTGTTTCCATAGAAGAAAGGAGCCTGGAAAAACTACTGTGAAGTATTTTCATATGACACCCTGTGAAAAAGTAAAACTCTTTTCCATGCGATTTGGTGGAGGCCAGAAGCACAGTGTGTTGAAAAAGAGACTATAAAGTCAAGGCAAATGGGCTATTAGACAGTTGTCCAGATGACCCTCTGGCTCAGGGAATCCTTAAACTGCTTATTGCCTTAAGCTGGCCTGGAACCAGCAGACAGCTGGTCATGAACCAGCTGAAGCTGATGACAAGAGATATATAACAGATGACACTGTTGCTGCTGAGTCTTATTTTAACTGTAAGTTGGGGAGAGAGCAGAAGGGGATAAGAACGATTTTGCTAGATATTAAATAGAATTTTCTGTACATTAGACCTACCCATGACTATACTATATATTTCCTATTGTTGCTCAGGCATTAACAATAAAAAAAGCTAAAATACCTATTTATAGTCATTTGGATGAGGAACTGAATTGAGTCCTTTGCTTTAGTAGTTCTGAGCTTCAGACGCCAACCTGTAATTGTATTTGGACTCCCAGTTACCGTAGGCACTAAGTGGTTAATGGTGTTCTTTTACCAGATAGCTGAGAGACCACTAATAGATTCAGCTTCTTATTTGCCCTAAAGGCTGCCACAGTTCAATACGATTAGGATCCTGTCCACTTAAGCAGTAACTGCTTCATAAGGAGGAACATAGAAAGCAATACATGTCTTCTCTGAGTGCAGAAAGAGCAGTTCTTCGGTAGGCAGGTTGTGTCTGATACAGACAGGTTTTCCTGTAATGGCCTGTAAGCAAGCCTTTGCTCTACTGCAAATTCTAATTTAAAGAAAACCCTATACCTTACTTTTTCAGTGGAAAATGAATTATTTTCCTTTTTTGTTCCAGGGCAGTTCTTTGGATGCAGTGGCGGATGCTGTATGGATTTTTTTATTATTACATTTTAACAAACTTTATAGCCCATTTTGTTTGTTTTCAAATAACTTTATTTTCCTTCTTTTCTACCATCAATTACTAGGTTTGTTTTTCTTTTCATAAGATGGAGGAGTCAGGAGACTGATCCTGCTCAATGCTGTATAATTTAGTATTATGTGTACTAGCTTTATGAGGTGGGAGTCAGATAAAACATAGTATTTGAACACTAACCATTTATTAGCTCTAAGGAATAGATTTATGACTTGACAAGCAGACAATAACTCTGTGTTCTGATCAGCCAAAGAGGTCTACTTTGAGTTCAAAACACAGAGTAACATACTCTTTCACAAATAATTTTGTTTACTGATGTGACTAGATTTTAATAATAAACTTGATATATATGTAAATTTATTTTAATCTAATTTCATCAACAGAGCCCTCCTAAAAATGAGACTTTGTAGAGTGTTCTGTGTCTGATTTATAGATTTCTGCATCCTATTCCCAGATTGATTTCAAGGCTATAATTCTATCAGGTTTTTCTCCTGATGTCAGAAACACCACCTCTGCAGATAGTGTTTTATAACTAGCATCACAACTGAAACTGAATTACTGCCCTGCTATCCTATGCTGCAATATGTCCTTTTGTTTATAATCACCCTCTCTCCCTTACATACCTACTGCTTCAGTTTCATGGCAAATATCAGTTCCAAAATCAATCAGGTAGCATGATGTCTATTTTTGTCCCTTACTTCAACCCCTGTATAAAATAGTAGGGGCCAAATTCTTAACTCAGATAGGAATGCAAAGAGTTCCTTAATGAAAATGGAAGCTGAGCAAATGGATCAGTGCCAAATTTCCACACCATTTTATAACGAGTTTCCCTTCCTCACTTGGTGAGGTCTCGATCCTGTAAAGGAGCACATGGCACACACTTCAGTATTCACACTGATCTCAATTTGGATACATGTTTAGGGACTCAGGACCTACCTTCTAAATGCACACATAATAATCCATGGGAACTGTTATTTAACTGAAACTAGCATATTTCAAGATTCTTTCTCCTTTTTGTCATGAAATGGATTCCTGTTTAAGATGTATTTTGTCTTACTTTTAATAAATAAAGCTACTGCTGTTTTCACATACTTTCATTTTTAAACCTTGATGGCTTGACCACCAGCTCCCTCCCTTTTCACTCTCCTCTTTTCTCCCTCCAACTCAATCTCACCTTTTTGCATCTTTCCGCTGGGAGTGGGGGTTGGATTGAGGGCACCACACAGAAGACACAGGAAGAGTTACTTTGCCAACATAAACACTTCTGTAGGTAATATACCTTTTCCACTACTAGTTTTTAGATAAGAATAAGCTTCCTGGAAGCATAAAGACTACAAATTTCCAATGCATGCCTTTGGAGTAGCCATGGTGTCAGCCAGTGGTATGGACTGAACCAGGAACCCCCTGGAGGGGGTGGAGAAGCCTCTCAGCTTTGATGAGTACACCAGCATCTCAAATCCTCACCACCCTTGGACCAGCTATAAAGAGTAACCCCATTTTATTTGCCTGGCAGTCATAACAGTTCTCTTTTGATGCTCATTTCTCTCATATTACATTTCTGAACACTTCATTATAGCTCAAATAAAATATAATTCTCATGTTGTTTTTAATTATTTCACAAAACCCAAAAGTCTCATAATGAGCTCCTCACAATACTAATATATTTCCATGATATTATGCCAATGCTAAAGAAAGAAGACGTAGATCCCTCCTCCTGCTGCAAATAAAATACACCTTCTGATATAATCCAAACTTTAATCCATTTCTTATGGCTTGCCTTTAGAAGCAACTCAAACAAATAACCAGAAGAACAAACCTCTTCTCTCTCCCACAGTTTGGCCATCTGGAGGATTTGTAAGGCCAATGCTCTATTTCCTACTCTCCAGGAGCAAGACCCCTTTTCTAGCTAAGGAAGGAATAAATAAATAAGATGCAGCAGCCTATACAATGTCAATAAAGACCTGCATTTTTCCATAAACAAATTTTTTATATATTCAGTGTCACAATTGCTAAATTTATAGCTTACCTGTTTGGAATAAAATGTGATTTCTGCAGCTCTTCTCCCTGCTCTATGTCCCTTGGGAAGCCATAAAGCACCCAACCATTGGTCACGCAGTCCAGCGCGTTTAGGCGTTTTGCCAGGATCTTCATAACAAGGTTGTCTGGGACTGCAAAGGATTAAAAAGATGACATTTATTTTGTATGCTGAGTCTGCAATTAAGGAGGATACAAACTATTTTTTCTTGTAAGACTGCTACAGGAGCTAAAATGCAATGAGTTAATCCTGTGTATGACTGATACAGATTTTAGAGAGAGGAGTTATTGTTGACTTTGCATATTTACTGTGCTGTCACAAAACCCCCAAACTCATAAGGAACTGTAGGACTAAAGCAAAAGTGTTTGGTAAAAACTGATGTCTACATAATTTTGCAATGTACTTTTCCTCTCAGCCATACTGGGCTGATGTCACAATGAAGTGTGTGACATAATCTTATCAAAATACAAAAACAATGACCCGAGTTGTCTAAAAGAAATCCTAGAACAGGAAAGAAATTTCTGTAGCGTTCTGTATTTAATTTAGCAGTTTATAACAGTTCAGCCACAGCAGGCAAGAGGGGAAATTTCTCCTATTTGCCCAAAGGCTTGAAGCTTTTATAACTGAAAATAAATTTCCAAAATGTATTTCAATTACTGGGATTACTGCATTGATGACTCCCTAATTTTAGAGATAGAAGTTCTCTTTCCTCTGTTATTATTTTTCTTTAAGTCAAGAGAGAACATGAGCAAGATGCTGACTGGGACTACAATTACTATGCAGCTTCTAAAATTCTATGTAATGGGGCACAGTGGTGAGGAAGTATCCTGCATATTTTCACTACAGCCTTCACCAAGTAAAATATTTCAATTGAGATACTTACGCTTATGTATCTTGTATTTTTTCCCCTTTTTACAGAAAAATTAAATGATTATGTTCAATAATACTGACTATAAAATTTTGAGAGGATTCTTGCAATGTGGCCGGTTTAATGTCAAATAGAAGAAAGGTCAGCAAAATCCCCTCCCGAAAAAGCAGCCAAAACAATTTTCCAGAAGCAATGAGAGTCCCTTCTCTTTATTTGCACGGTGTGTCTAATGCACTGTTGCCTCTACTGGAAACAAGCAATAAAGAAACGCTACATAAATCCACATCATGGAATGTTGATGTTTTGATACTCACCCTGCCATTGCATCTGCGTACAAAAATACAACAACAAGTGCCTGTAGGAGGGCAAACGCGTCAGATTTCTGACAATGCCATTCGCTTTAGGACCAGCTGACAGGGATGTGCCTGTATTTTAGTGGAGTATATTATTATCAGTGCACATTTATACCCTGGGTACAAGCAGGTTTTAAACCGCAATAATAGAATCCACTTGCTTCCTGAAATTTAGCATTTACTAAAGACTTACACCTCGATCATGAAATTCATTACTTCTCCTTTAAGTAATCAAATTACTGAGTTTACAGAATTGCACTCAGGATTCAATGTACCAGCAAAAAGGGAGGAAAACTGCAGGGAATTAATTAGAAAACAGATTAGTGTATTAATTGAGGATACCCACTTCACATTATAAAAAAAAAAAACAAGTTAAGGAGAGTTATATTCTCCATCTGCTAAAAGAAAAAAGGAATGGAATAAAACCAGACACTTGACAGAGAGCAAAATGACAATGCAAAACTAGGCATTCCCTTAAAAATGGGATTCATAAAATTAACTATAGAAGAGTGCAGCAGCAGCAGCAGAAATGTTATTAGACAGATGATACTTATATATCTAAGACCTGAGCTGCAGGCAGGCATAGAGGGGATAAGGGGAGAATTTCAGTGCTCTGTGCAGGGCAGTTCTCCCAACCCTCCAGGTTACAAGAGCTAATACAAAACCAAGACATCTGGGTAGGAGGAAGAAAAAAAAAATCCCAAATTCTCTTTCCCCAAAATACATTCTATACAAAGACCAGTGGAATTTTCTTGATAGTCTTGAATTTTGGGCTGCAGCACTAAACTTTCTGTCTTGATGCATGTTATTTTATCGTGCTTCCTAGTGGTATCATTAATATGGATTTACAAAGATGCCAAATTATATGGTTATTTTGAAACATTTTCAGAATGCTTAAAGACAGTTTTGCCAGGGATTTGAATGAAACTTAACAAACCCCAGAGTAAAACTGCACTAAGGTAGGATTCTGCTGGAGCCATCATCCCTGTGAAATGACCAGGGAATCAGGGCAGAGGCTGAAAACCCCAGGAATGGCACAGAGAAATAAGTGGATATTCTGGGCTGTTGAGGGCAGAGGCTAAAAAACCCCGGGAATGGCACAGAGAAATAAGTGGATATTCTGGGCTGTTGAGCTTCCAGCAGATCATAGGAGATTCTCCAGTTCTGGGGCCAAATTACTTCCATCCTGCACACGGGAAGGAGAAAACCTACAGCCTACAACAAAATTGAAAAGCAACTCTGATGGGAAGCAGGCAGCATCTCCTCGATCTGATCACTTCCCTCTGTGAATCTTGATGATAGAAATCCTCTATTTTGGTCACTATTTTTGAAGAAAACTGAAGCAATCACAAGAGGAAAAAAAAACAACCCCAAGATGCAGTGACAATTAATTAACAGTTTCTCTAATGGCACGCCAGGTTTGGGGTGCTTTGAGTAATGCTGGGAATATGTGGTAACCCTGACACCTTGCTCATTTCAGGGATGACTGACTAGAAGATATCAGCAATGCACTTTAGGTTGTTTCTACACTCATGTACATATATACATCACTGAATAATATAGATGCTTACACATTTTCTGTGCCTCCCTCTAAAGCTTGATGGTGAGAAATAAAACATAAACAAGTCAGACAGCAAGCTCTGCTCTCCTCTTGATTAGCAAACATACCTATCACTTCAACACAATAGGGGAACAGAGCTTGTTGGCTGTTCAATGGCATTACAAAGTACATCAGCTGCCCTTGAACAGGAACAGTCACACTTAAAACAGCTGCATTAAAACTGTAAAACATCTTCCACAGACCAGGAGGGAAAAAAAAAAAAAAAAAAAGGAGAGAGAAAAAAGGAAGGAAGAAAGAAATCAGTATTATTCTTATTTTGCTGTGATACAGACAGAGTAGGTAATGAAGAACTCTGCAGTATGATATTCCTTTTCACTCATGTGGAACTGTCTCTTGAATGTAAGGCAAATTAATAACCTGTAATTGGAGGGGCACACAGACTGTAAGTAACTAGCCAGAGGTCTCCTGGCCTTAAGCACATGACCCAATGGGCTACACACCAAAATAAAATTTAGAGCTTTTCTGATGAGACAGTCAATCTACATGTTTTAAGTAGATTATGAAGCACAAGAGCTTTGAATAATCAATTCCTTTTCAACGTAAGCTTGTGTGAGTTTCCAACTCTGAAAGTTGGAGGAATGAGACTCTAGAGAGATTTTACTTTATCATTAGAGAAGCCCAAAGATAAGTTTCTTGTAAAAATTACAATGTGCTACAAAGAGATATCCAGATTAGGTAATGTGGAAGCACATCTCTATTAGGGTGAGAAATCAAGGTACAGGAGTAAAATTCACCTCTCAGAAGTAAAGCTGCAGAGCTGCTGAGCTACAGCAATACCCTGTGCTGACAGCACCGTGCAGAGCTATGGACCAAGGTCATGGTGAGCCTCAGAAATGGTCTATGTGGCAGAATGAGGCCCCAACCGGCTCCATATAGAAATGTAATTCATTCATGCATACATTCTTTCTTAACATCAATACCACACACCGTATCTCCCTTATCTCCCAGCCTGTATCGACCACGTTAATGGTCTAGACTAAGCTGAATTAGCAGCTGTGGAACCAAGAAGTGATCTAATCAATTGAAGGGTATGATCTGGCAGGGTACAAGGAACAGAGGCTTAAAGTGCTGCTGTTCGTGCTGGAACTGCTGCCTCTGGACACCTGGAGATTTTCTGTCTCCAGAGCTGTCAATCAGCACCTTCCAGCAGACCATTTAAAAAATAAATTTACTTCCCAGAGCTTCAAAGGTTTTCACAAGTACAAGGTACTTCTCATGAAAAGTACGTCCTCGCGAAACTCATAGGAACGTGGCTATTAGCTCTCACCCAACCCATAGATCTGCAGGACTAATAGAAAACCGTATCAGGCAATCAGTTGACAAAATCATACCATCTGCTCAAGACAAAAGTAACAGAACATTAAAGGCACAGTCTGAAATGCAAAAAACACTACTTGAGAGACTACAGGGCACTATTCTCCAATAGCTTCAATGCTGTCAGTGCTCCAAGCTATACAATTATCATATTTAAATTGATTCCTGCTCCATATATTTCCCTTTAAAACAGACTTTTGAAGGGTATTGACTCACTTCTCCAAACCTATAAAACCTCGACTCTAAGTACAGCATAAATGTATTTGCAGATGTAAATTCTGTCAGCTTTGTGCTGTAAAAAGTTCAAGGTCCTTTTGACAATATTGTCCATTTACCCTTTATCCTTCTCTTGGAGATTTTTAATTTTTTTTTAGCGAGGTCTGAAGACTTTCACAGCTAATTCAGATGCCTGAGGCTTGATCCCAGTACTTGACAGTTAACATCTTGCCCAGAGTATAAGCCACCGCCAAAGGCTACTTTCCTGGATTGTCCTGTCAATCCTAAATTTAGCAAAGCATGAGATTTGCTTATCTTATTGCTCTATAAACTCTGGATTATTCACAGCGGGCCATTTTATTCGCGTCTTTCAGAGCAGTATTCTATTTCCTTGCCCACATTACGGCCCTGAGAGATTGTGTCAATTTGTTTTTAATGCGTTTGAGAATGATTTATCACGTAGGTTGATCAAGATTTTAATTTAATCCTGTCGCCACAGCAGAGTGGTGAGAAGCGGGTGCTCTTCGTTACAGAGAGCCGATGTAACGGCTGTAAATAATAACAAATAATCCAAGCGTGTGTTCAAGACAACCGGGGGGGCGGAAAAGGCCGGGGTTTGCCCCGCTGTAGGGAGGAGAATTTGG